TGTCCGTACATGAAGTCAAATGCCTATATATATCGGAACATTAACTACAGAGGGGGGAATACTTTTTCATTACTCAACAAATTTAAAGTAGGGACTGACAAGGAAAGTGTATTATGTATTGGGGATTTATTAGGAAATTTCCGAAAAAAAAAAAAAAACAAACAGACGAATTGAAATTTACCAAAATAATCCCTCAATACGTCTTTATTAGGTTTTAAAGTTCTCTTTTTCTTCGCGTCAACTCATAGATACCCTTAACCTTTAAGCTCAAATTTTCTTTCTACTTTTGATCGGAATTAATTGCGTCAATTGAACTGCAAGTCTACACTCGCCGGATTCATTCGTCGTTGAAATTTGTACCTGAATTTGGCCGATGGCGTCTAGCGGCAACAAGAACATCAACGCGAAGCTGGTTCGTTCTCTGCCTTATTTTCTAATTTTGCCTCCCAATCGCTGTATAAATTTGTATATTCTTGTTCTAGATTCGATTTTCGCATTTGGCTTTTCATGGGCTGTTTGTTTTCTCTTGAATTTTACCAATTTCTGACCCCAATTATGAAGATCGCATCATTAGTTTTCTATCTTTGTTTTGACAATAGATTCTGGTTTATACTCAGTTAGGCATTTCCTTAAAGTTTGGGTGATTGTTGATCGTGCCTAATCTGGTTTAGCTCAATTAGCTTGTTAGAATTACTGGTTTGATGGTAGTTTATATACACCATATAGTTTGAACATAATGAAGTAAAATTAGAACATGGAAATCACAAGTATTTGGCTGATGGCGTCCAGTGGCAACAAGAACATGAACTCGAAGCTGGTTTGTACTTGTCCGAATTTCAAATTTCTCCCCACAATTGCTGTATACTTTTTTTATATTTGTTTTCTCGATTCAATTCTGCATTTGGGTAGTTATGGGCTGCTGGTTTCGTAGTGAATTTTCAAACCTAGAGTATTAAAATTTGAATCTTTGTTCTTCGAACTTCGTTTTGACAGTAGGTGGATAAACTTGCATGGATACCCAGTTAGACATTTCCTTGAAGTTAACCATGGGTGATTGTTGATTGTATCTAATCTTGTTTAACTGTGACGTTTACTTGATGGTATGTGTAGACTGTGTATCAATTAGCTGGTTAGGATTGCTCTTCTGATAGCAGTTTCTACACTAATTGCTAGATATAGTTTCTAATGTAATGAAGTATAATTAGAATATTGAAATCACTATAATTCTGTGTTCCCGGCATTTGGAAAATGTTGGTGGGCCAACTTTATTGGAAGTTCAGTGAACATCGCTTTTGCATCATCACCTGTTTATATAGATGAGTCGATCAAGTTAGCTGTGAAAAGTAAAATTACTTGCAGGCTTGCAACATCTTTTAGAAAACAATCAATCAACAAGCCGTTAAAATCCCACTAGGTGGGCTCGGCTATATGGATCGCGTGTCGCCATCGTGCTCAATCAAAGCACACATCCTTATTCATATTTAAATATTTTAAATCATTTTTTACTCCTTCCAAGTTTTCTTCGATCGAAGCATCTTTTAGAAAACACTTTGAACAAATAATAAGCAACATCAACTCTCGTAATTGGAACATTTTAATCAGCGCTAGTGATTTAGCCTTCTGAATGGTCATTAGATTGTGAATTTGTGCATTCAACGCAGGTAATGCTATTCTTGAAAAATAATGTAGGTTGGGATGATTCATTACATAAAAATATTTCATTGCCCTACTATGTCATGTTTTCAGTCGTAACAATTTACATCAATGTAACTGTTTACAGTTGGTTATAGTAACTCGTCTCTTTGTCCCCTTTACTAAAGTTTGACGAGCATTTATTTGATTCTAGGTGCTCCTTGGAGATGTTGGAGCTGGAAAGTCTAGTTTGGTGTTGCGTTTTGTGAAGGGGCAGTTCATCGAGTTTCAGGTTGGTAAACACTGGTGCCATGTATTAGTTAATGTTGTTAATCTTTGGTACATCAAATCAGATTTTGCTCGTGGGCTCTATTGAGGTGACCCAATTCATCTGATGTAGGAATCAACTATCGGAGCTGCATTTTTTTCCCAAACAGTTGCCGTGAATGATGCAACTATAAAATTTGAGATATGGGATACAGCTGGTCAGGAGAGGTACCACAGCTTAGCTCCAATGTACTACCGCGGAGCTGCCGCAGCCATTATTGTTTATGATATCACAAACCAAGTAAGCATCAAGTGCTTAAAGAACATGTTATTTATATTAAAAATTAAATGAAATATCAGTCTTTGTATTGCACCATGCTTTGAGAAATGGTCTTCGATATACAACAGAATCATGTTTAAGTTGCCAATAATTCGTCCTATTGAAAGCATTGAGGAATTTTTTTCTTTTTTCTTTTTTCGTGGCAACTTCAAATAATTATTCATTGTTCTTATCAAATTTGGTACTATAATGTTTGGTTTCTATAGGCCTCATTTGAACGGGCCAAGAAATGGGTTCAAGAGCTTCAAGCACAAGGTACAACATCGTTATTCTCTTAGTCAGGAAAGTTGGTCGCAATGGGATTTCTACTTTTGGTTATGTAGGATGTTTTTCAAGCGTTAAGAGTGCGTTTGTTTACCCAAAAAAAAAAAAAAACAATCTAAACTCAAAATCTATCTCAACTCCACTTCTTCAATATTATCAAAATAATTAAATAGTATCGATCGATCATTCTTACACATCACATCAACTTTAATTCATTGTTCATCCACTCACATAATTTTAAATACATATCATTTTCAATCATCCATCTCCTACTTTTACATCAAATAAATTATATAATCATTTTATTTTAAGTAATGTTTTAATACAAACAAAATCTCTCTAGCAACTAACCGTACCATTTTTTTTTTCAAAATAACCATGGTTAACAAAAAAAACCAATCAAATACCAATATATATTTGTAAACAAGCAACCCTAGTGTCTTGATGTTGCAGCTGTCCTGTATTTTTCACTCGTCTAATGTAGGTTTACACAATTCAGGGCCTATTCTTTCCATGTATTTTTTTCATGGTGAAGTTATATTTCAATGCTGAACCCTGTTGTTTTTCTGGCATAAGGTAACCCAAATATGGTTATGGCACTTGCTGGGAATAAATCAGATTTGTTGGATGGAAGAAAAGTGGAAGCAGAGGCAAGCAATCTATCCCTTTTCCATATTATGTGCATCTCTCACACTCTTGAACTCGTGCAAATATGTTTGTTTTTATTTTGGGAGGACAAAATTGGGTTGTGGAATGATACGCTTAGTTTATACTGTATGCTTTATATTATTAGTATTTTTCTCATTATTGTTATTATTTCAGGAAGCACAAGCTTATGCCCAGGAAAATGGTCTTTTCTTCATGGAAACTTCTGCGAAGACAGCAACAAATGTGAACGACGTATTTTATGAGATAGGTAAGAGTAATAAGCTCGAATAACTTAACATTTAATTCATTTCTGCCAAACCAAGTAAGTTGAACCGTTTGAATGGAATATCATAAAGTAAAACGCATTAACCAAATATTTTTATTTGCAGTATTTAGTACTAACTGATTTGCCCTGCAGCCAAGAGATTGCCTCGATTACAGCAGGCACCGAATCCATCCGGTATGGTCCTTGTGGATCGACCAGCCGAAAGGACAGCCAGTGCTTCATGTTGCGCTTAAGAGTTTCTGCAGACTTCCCCAAAGAACCGGGGAGAAAAAAAAGATGAAAAAAAAAAGCAAAAATGAAATAACTGTAATAAGTTAAAATTTGTGTGCATAAAATACTTCGTTACAACTCTCGAGTACTCGTTGGATTGCCAAAATTTGTACAGGAGTTGAACTTACTTTATGTATTTCGCATTGGCTGGAGCCTTGAAGCTGAAGGACATGTACAATTTCACTTCGATTTGATATTTGTTATTGGAATTTTATTACTTTTATCAGTTTCTATAATTTTTCTGTTGCATTTGATTTCTTGCAATGAACTTCAATGTATGAGTCGTCTCAGACCATTAACACTAGTGAATAAGTAAGAATGATGATAGATAGAAATAACGAGATTCCCCGTAGCCTTCCTCGGTAGGGCACTTCGAGCGCTCGGCGGCTGCTCTATTGGGCCCTGCAATTCGCCTCCGAGAGCTGCGTCGATGGAGTGGGCTTTTTCGCCGGGGAGAAGCTTGCGTCGTTTTCCGGTCTTCTGCTCCGATGCCGGAAGCGAACGGCGGGCGTTTCTCCTCCGGTATCTCCGCTGCGGCAGCTCCAGCGCTCTCTCGGAGCGAATTGCAACCTCAATTTCCCGTTTTAGGGCTTGGGGTGGAGATAGGGTTCTGGCCAATTGGCTCCTTCTGGTCTGGGTGTAGAGCATTGGAGCCTCGGTGGTCTCCGATTCTTGTGGCGCCGATTGGGTGAGTATGGAGCTCTGGTGCCGCGGTCGCTGAGATTGGATGGTCGGGCTCTGTGTTTGTGGGGCTGGGTTGGGCTTGGCAGGGCTGGTTCGGTTTGGGTTGGGCTGTGCAGGCTTGCGCTGCATTGGGCTGGGCTGAGCCGGACCAGTCGGGGCTGGGCTGGGCCGCGTTGGGCTGGGTTGGGCTGATTGGACTGGATCTTTTGTCTCCGGGTGGCTGTGGAGTCCTTCGTCTGGACGAAGGATAGGTCTGTTGGTTCTCGTCTTAGCTAGGCGTTTCTCGCAGATTTTGGGTCGAGATCCTGTTCTTAGACTTTGCCGTTGTTGTGCTCGATGTAGTTTTCGGCTGGGGAAGGGCTTTGTTTTTGTTTTTTTGTTTTGGTGTCGTTTTTGGTGTTGTTTGCTTGAGTCTGTGTTAGTTAAGTGTTTTTTGTCTGGGCTCTTTGCCTTAGTGTTTTTTGTATTGTCTTTTGGTCTGGGCCATTGGCCCCTGTGTTGATTACCCCGTGGGGGCCAATCCTATTCTCCTGTGGGGAGCGTTTCTAGTTGTTGGTAGTGTCTTGTGTTTGTTTTTATTCTAGCTTGGCTAGTTGAGGTTCTAGGCGGTCTTTTGACCTGTCAGTTTTTAGTTGGTAGCTGTCTTTGGAAGCTATGGGCTGTATTTGCACATTTGTGCCTTTTGATTATAATTATCTCTATCGTTCCGAAAAAAAAAAAAATGAATATGAATACTTTCAAACTTAAATGTCACATTCGAATAAATAATATTGTGAGATTTTTTTTTTTTTTTTTTGAATAAGTAGCATTATTGTTAAAAGAAAGTGATGGATGAATTTGTCTAATCATGTTATTATGTTGTTTTACACAAAAATTAAACAAAATTAAATTCATTTGGTTTCAAAATTGTCTGGTCAATAACAGCCTTTTTGGTAAATGCTGTTTAAGAGTAATTTCACTAATTAGACTCAGAAATGGATTTATTCAGAACTATTTCAAAATTGTGTAGTAAATAATAAATATTGATAGGGAGGGCGAGATAGTATTTTAAAAAAAAAAAAAAAAAAATTGGTGAAGGATTTTCCTTGAGCTAGGATAATGCGATAATTTGATATTTTCCTTGGTAAATCAATAATTAAAAAAAATAATAATAATAATTGTGCAAAATTAGGATGTGATTGCAACATTTAGTAGTTTTTCTATTTTTGACAGCGTAAATTAATATTTTTTTAATTTATTTGAAAATGGGAAATGAGACATAATTGTAGAACTGATGAAAGTAAAACAATGAGTGTTATTATGCATGTAGATATTGTTTGAAATAGTGAGAATGTAACCATGCATATATATTTCACCATTTATAAATTAACTTAATCGCTCATTTGTCGAAAGAGTATTAAATCTAACCATGAGTGATTAAATGGGTGGTCTTGTATTAAGCTGGTCCAATCATTAGACTATCACCCTTTTTTAACAAATTAAATATGCATAATTTTATTTAAAAATATTATATTTTAAAAAACAATATAAATAAAATTGTGGCATTTGTGTTGGGTAGAACAAGTACAATGGACAAAAATATCCCTACAACAAATATGACAAGCAATACTACTAACGAAAATAAGCCACACAAATAAATAACAGACGAGAAAAAAAAAATACAAAAATTGATAACGGAGTTCGACCAATATTGCATACGTCTCCGGGCACCGCCAACCGCAATACCAAATTTATTAAACTCAACACAAAATACAAGGGTTAAATAACCCAAAAATTATGATTTCCTTAATTAAGAACTTCCTTATAAGATAGGGGAGAATAGAATGAATCAAATTGTAACCCAAAGGCAAATGACTTATTTATGCTAAAAATATCTTACACATATTTGGTACACATCTGATGTGAGACAACGATTAATCAAAATCTAACAATTTGATAGTATAAATATATATTTTTATTTTAAAAATATGACAAATCCACCTATGTAATAGTTAGTTTGTTTTGCATGAGAATTTATGTTTGTCAATTTATATACGAAAGGCCGTTGTGAGTTGTCCTACATTAATTTGATAGAGTAAATGAGCCTAGTTTATAAGTCTAGTGGGCTACTACTTATACTACCAATTGGTTTTGGTATGGAACCTCACTTGAGTTTCATTTGCGCCAATCCTCTTATGATGCATTTCACCTGTGTGGGACCGCACACGTTTTGCCCCCCGTTTGATATGGTATCAGAGCGCGCCTAATTGGGACATCCGATGGTTTAAAAGAAAAAAGTACCCGGCCTGGTTGTAGGCGCGGACAGAAAAAGTTATCCGACCTAGTTGGAGGCGTGGGCTGATGAAAAGCTCACAAGTGAGGGGACGTGTTGGAATATCACTTGTGAGTTGTCTTACATTAATTTGATAGAATATGAGTCTAGTTTATAATTATAATGGACCGCACACATTTTGCCCGCGTTTGATAGGCCTCAATTGTGAACGGGTTACACTTTATTATGTGACTTTAAACCGCTCAAAATCCGTTTAAATGTTATACCATTTGACTACAAGTTGTAGTAAGACAATCTATACTTATATTAAAAGGAAACCTATTTATTAAACATAATAGGTAGAAAAGTCAACTTCAATTAATGAACTTCTAATTTTATCATGTAGTAATTAATGCATTTATAATTTTAATCAAGTTTCCTATTTTACATATTGTTTTTAATCCTTCTTATCTTGACATAAAAAAATCTCATAAAATGGGGTGAGCAAAAACAATAAAAATTCTGTCTCTAAAAACTACAAATCAATATTACGATCTTGAATAATACACTAACAAATTATAATATATTTTTATAAAACTTATAAAAAACTATTAAAAAACTTGGTTCGTATATTTGTATATATATTTATATTTTTTTAATATTATCTTTGTGTTAAAAAAAACTATTTAACACTATTCTTTTTTATTATATAATAAAATAATAATTAAATATTATATGATGAACAAGAATAAATAAAACTGTTACTTTTTTTTTATATCAAGGGATAAATTTATATACTGAAATTAAAGTTTTATTAGTATAAATATTTTAGTGAGATAATATATTAATTATTTTACAAGCTAGCCCTAACATACTCATATTTAAGTTCTGGCTAAAAAACAATGCTGGTTAAAAGATATGAAAAAAAACTTATAACCTTATTATTTTTTAGACTTAACGTTGATCAAAAGAGGTAGAAAATAGATAATAACACTATTACTTTAAAGATTTAAACGGACAAGGCTGTTAAAATAACTCATTTAATATCTATGTTTCGTGCATCGCACGAGGTACGTACTAGTAATCATAAAGGCTAAAACCTTTCTTATTAATCATAACACTACCAAGCACGCGGGCACAAACCAAATTAACAAACAATTCGACTCCTAATCCCATGCGCCTCTCTCTTTAGCAATTTTTCCACGTCATTAATTTCTTGTTAATCATTAGACAATCATACTTTATTATAAAAGTATATACATATATTATGAATATCATATTTTATTTATACCGTATTTTAGAGTGTGACACAAAAGTACAAAAGTGTGCATATTTAGTAAAAAAAATGATTGATTAGCCATTAAACAACCCAAATAGAAGAATAATCGTGAAGTTAAGGTTCGTGTACACTTGTTCAAAACCATGTTCTCTTGTGGTGGTGGGATCAAAACACGCAGATTAAGCTAATTAAAGGAGAGATTTAGTTGGTTGGTTGGTTGTTTCGACTGTTTAATTGTTTTCTATTATATAATTATTTGTTTTATTTTATGAAGTCTATCGTTTGAAAAAAAAAAAAAAAGTTAAAGAGAGAAAAAAGATCACCTTTTTTTTTTCATTTTTTGTGTTTAATGTACAAAATTACTTTGAAAATTAATAAAGTTGTATTAGGAGTCTAAAAGTAGATTCAAATTAAAATACAAAAATTTCTTTGAGTCCATTTTGTCTTTCCTTGGCTCTTTAGCTCTTTAAATACAAGTGTCCTTGAATCCATTTTGCATCACATGATCC